TGGGGCATTTTCATGTTACCAGCAGAAATCCATGGCCGGGTAAGACCTCAGTGAGCTCAGCCATACTGCCAGCTTTCAGCATTCCCCCAGTTGCTGCTGCTATTTGAAGCCTTTTCCTGTGCCCCGCTTGCTGAACCACTTTCTGCAAACCAAAGCCACTGCGTTTTCTCTGTTTCTGCACCGAGGGCAAGTTTGGGCAGCAGGATGCAATGAACTGAGCAGGTAACAACTCTGGGAGCAGATCCTGGGAGAAGCTGCCACAAACAAACACTCTGTGCTGCCTTCCTGCTGTCTTTTAATTGGCAAACAATGGGGAAACCCCAAAAGGCTTCTAAACGGGGTTGCCATCTTTTGCATCTTCAGCAGAAAGCCTGCTCGTGTCTGCCATGTGCGTCGCAGCGCTGTGAGCGCTCCCCATCTTACCCTTGTCACACCTACCACAGCACTTCTCTTGCTGCCCTGGCTCTGTGGTGGAGCTGGGTCTCCCTTCTTGTCTCGGGCTCCACGGGTGACTTAGGCAGAGCTCCGTCATGCCCATGTGGTGCCTGGGCCGAGCGGCTGGTGGCTGCATGGCGTCTGTCCTCGTTCGTGTGCCTCTGGGAGGAGGAAAAGGGCACCCAAGCTGCTAAACGCGCTTCTGAACAGGAGCTGAGGAGTGTTAGACGCTGCTTCCTTTAAAAGGAGGAGCTGCCTGCGGGTCTGTCGGATGGCAAGGGCTGCAGGGAGGCATTCTCCCCACCGGCAGAGCTTGGCTGCTGGAAACCCGCTTTGAGAGCAGTTGGTGCCCCAGAAATAGCAATATTGGAGGAGCTTAGCGCTTGATTTGGCTGTCCCTGGTGTAGTGCCACGAGTTAACGCCTCGCGTTGAGTTTTGATCCAGATGTGTCATGGCAGGGAGGCACAGAGTCGCCTGCCCCTGCCCCACGCCGCTGCCTGGCGTGGTGCAGAGGGAAACGATGTGCTGCGGTCTGGGCGCTGCGGGAACGTGGCCCCTTCTGCCCAGCCTTGTGCCGTGCTGCGGGGACAGCCCACGTGGGGAGCGATAGCATTTGCCATGGGCTTGGTAAGGATCAGTGTCCTCCCAGCCTGCCCGTCCCACCGTGCCGCACGGGAGGTGTCAGGGCCGAGATGTCCTGGTGGAGGTCGGCGCTTGTTCGGCCAAGCTGCAGAGCCAGCATGCCGGTGCTCTGGTGTTGGCTGGGCCGTGTCCCGCGGCGTCCGGCCGGCAGGGAGAGCGAAGCAAGACCGTCTCCGAGTGTAGCGCAGGGAACGTGACAAACCGTAGAGCTTGGCTTGGACATGACTCACCCTGCTCAGCGCTCCCAGGCTGCGGGCTGGCAGTGTCGCTTTTCCTGAGCCTTGCAAGAGGGAGCAAACCACCACATTGTAATCCTGCTGGGTGCTGGGATTTTTGTCCCTGTCCCACTTGGCAGAGGGGCTTTCTAGCTGATAACTAATCTGCAGAGTCATGTTGGGCTCGGGTTGGCTTCACACCCCTTCATCCAAACACAAATAGCAAAGTGCATCTGCCCTAAGCCTCTGCCAGCAGGTTTTCACTGCGTGCAGCCAGCGTGGCACTTGCCCTTTGAAATGCAGCAAAGCAACACTCCAGCGAGCGCCCAGTTTCCAGCGGAATGAGGAGGAGGTGGGACACGTCGTTTCTTCCTGCAGTGACCCTGGTGCTGGGGTGGGCTTCAGGCTGTGCTAGTGCGGATGTTTAACAGCAAGAGAGGGAAAGGACAGAGCCCGGCTGTGTACGGCAGTGAGCTGCGTTACCATGGGAACTGTCCTTGCTGGAAGTGTTGAGATTTTAGCTCTCCGGAAGGATTTGCTAACTGCCCAGTGCAACAGCAGCAGCCTCCTGGCTTTGCTGGCAGGGCTTTAGCATCCCTGACCCGGGAGGTGCAGGGTCACCCGTGAAAATAAGCCGCACACGGCGATGTGCCTGGCGAAAACAAGTGTGGAGACAGCGCTGCACTGTCCTGGGGCTGCTGCTGTGCAAGCTGCTGCCACGCAGGGATGGCAGTGAGCGGGGTGTGCTGCTCCAAGTGCTTGCCTTGGGTGCAGCCTGGGACCCAGAGCTCCTGGCTTGGCTTTTTCCTCATCAGCAGAGCCCTAGAGCTGCTTTTTCTTCTTGCTTTACTCACCACAGCTGGCTGATGTGAGCAGCAGAGGCTGTCTCCTGCAGTGTCCCTTCTCACAAGACAGCCAGCGGGATCTTCTGGGGGCTGGTGGTTCAGGCAGAGCGGTTGGAGTGCTGCGGAGTCACTTCTTAGGTGGACATCACGGCAGGGACCTGTCCTGCCTTGCGGGGGTGAGGGGGGTCTCCCCCCGCATTCAGCGTTACAAGCCCGGCCATGAGGGCAGGGTGCTGGTTCGGGGACAGCAGGCCATGCTGTCCTGGGACGGGGCCGGAGTTGTTTCTTGTTGTCACGGCGGCGGCGGTGGCCATCAGCAGGTGGTGAGCCTGGGCAGAGGCTGTGCGTTAAGCCTTGTTACAGAAGATGTGTCCAAGCCATAGCAGAGATGGCAAAGCTGTCAGACACACGTGCTCCTCTCCCAACCCACCAGGACGCCAGGTTCTCCACACCTTTGCCTCTCCCAGCAGTTGGGGGAAGGGGGTAGCACATGGATCCTGGGGCTGTGGAAGGCACCCAGATCCCTGCTGCACCCCAGCCGGGGTAGCAGAGCACCGCGCAGCTCTGCGCTGCTGTAACACGTGCCCGCCTGCTCGCGTGGAGCCCGTGCACCATTGCTGTGTGTGTCCGTCCCCGCTATGGGGCAGAGCTTGTGCAGCCGCCCCCGAAGGACCTGGGGATGCAGGGGGAGTCAGTCCTGGCCCTTCTGCACCCCCATTGGGGCAGTGCTGCAGCACAGTGTTGCTGCAGAGCCCTTGGGGCTGTGCATCGCTCGGGCACCTGCCCCGCTCCTGGGCAAACAGGAT